AATGCTAAATGACTCCATCTATCTGCATCCCTTGCTTTTTCTTCCTGCTCATCATGAAGCTCCATGCTTCCCTACACACTCCTCTGAATGTCTGCCTGCATGTGCCCGTCACCCCTAAGGGCAGTGCAGGGTGGAAAGGTGGGGAAGGGCGGGGGCGGGGTTCAAGCAGCCCACCGGACTGTGAAATGCAAAACCCTGCGGTTGGGAGAATGTGCGTGCTCTGCAACTTCCACCAACACCCCCTTAACCCCCCCATCCTGCAGACTGAGCTGCCACTTGGGAGATGTGCGAGTTATTGAGTCGCCAACACGGACAGGATGCGAGTGGATGCGTCTGTGAACACCGTTCGCATATGCCGGTCGCCCCGCTGATCTGTCCGCATTTAGAAATGCCACAGTCACATAGGTTGCCAGGCCCAAAATGCACCCAGCAGCCTCATCCAGACATTTTTGCTTGGGTAAGCATCGGGAACTCTGTTTACATGCGTGTCCTCGGACTGTGTGTGCTGGAGCCCTGAAAGGTGATATATGTGTTGGAGTGTATGGAGTGTGTCCATAGGTCAATGATACACCACTAAGGTTGGTGTTCGGTTACATCCCCTCCATCAGGGTCAAGCGCTGGGACTGGATGCAGCTGAAAAGTCGACGATGTCAACTAGAAATGTATTCCATATGGGCAAGAATGTTATTCCTTGTGGGCTTTATTGATTTAACATTGCCACAATTTTTTTAAGAAACAGGACATTTGAATTTGTTGTAGATTTTCTCTCGTTCACACATTCAAACACCCAAATACACACCGGCGAAATTTTGGCATCCAGTATTCTGAGACTTATTTTTTACCAGTGTGAACAAACAACCGTGTCCAAGTTGAGGTGAAGCTGAACTAGTGCTAAACACCTGTAGCACTTACAAGAAGATACAGTCAGCATGACGCCACCTCCACCATGCTTCACAGTAAGGCAAGAACATGTTTCTTGTGATTGTGGTGAAACAGCTCAACAACGTTCTCTAGAAAACATTCGCCTGGTGCCATTTCAAACTCACTTCACTCTGGACATTAAACCTGATGTCTCCAGTTCCTCGCAGGCTCTTAGCGGTTCATGAATTGTTCCACGCCACCTCATATTACATAAGTACCTGCAGCTGTTTAAAAAGGCTTAAGTTGTGCAAATCTATAATTCTCCTTCTTAAATGTGTTATCTGAGGATACATTTCTGCTCATTTTTTGGACCGTGAAGCTAAATCAGGCTTTATCTGAGCAAATGTCAGTCTACTGGATATTGCAGCCAAGATAACGAGCCGCTTCTTTTGGTCCGAAGATGCAAAGCAACACAAGCTCTCTCTTGGCTGTCAGGGAAACTGGGTTCCTCGCATAATGAGGAAGCTTTTTTTTTTTTTTTTTTTTTTTGACCGGCTCCGCTTGTTCCAAATTCCGCTCGGCCCTGCTGTTTGTTCCAAACCAAATCTGAACAACCAACTGTACAGGGATTTGGACGCGAGGCAGCACAGTTCAGTTTGGCGCCATTGGCTTCAATAGTGGAACAAATAGCAGCCTCAAATGTACCATCTGCAGACCTCCAAAACACTTTATTCCCTCCTCTGCTCCCCATCCCCCTATAACTGGCTGAATCATGCCTCGCAGACACCAACAGGGGACACAGTCATCACTCCTGCCATCGTGTCTCAGGGACCCATTTAGGGGCCGACTACAACGGCCTCCTATCTCGCCATCAGTAGCAGTAAAAGCATCAAATTCGAAATTGTGCCCGGAATACAGAAGGGACGGCTAAAGCCACGGGTCCGCTGCAGGAGACAAAGCTTTTAAGGCAAACCACGACTCATAATTCCTGCATTCAGCAGGACTTGTGTTGTGCCATCCTCATCCGGCTACAATGAGCACAATGAGTGCTTTGCCAAGAACATCTCTGCTCTGCATGGAGAGAGGGGATTTCATAATGTGGGGCCAGTCATAATCCTCATGCTCACAAGGAAGCAGTGTGATCTTTTTATCCAAAGGAGATGTTGTTTGCCAAGAAAAAGAACTTCTGAGATATTTACTTCAGTGATTCACAGCAGGACATTGAGGTTTTAAACCCTTTTAGAAAATGTTTCTAACTGGAAACTGTTTTTCCCCTCCAGTGTTGTTAAGCGACTTGTTTCCATCTCGGGGTGTTAAACAGTGCTGTTTCGGTCACAGCAGGTGGCTTCACACTTGGGGCGAACAGTGAAACCTGACAAAAAGAGACGTCCTTCAGGACTCCACTTGCAGAAAATGGAGGAGTGGTGTGAGGGATCCAATCACTAATATGTAGTTTGGCCACATTTGATCAGGTCTAACCAACTAAAGTGCTTTAACAGGGTTTGGAAAACTACATGACATAGTCTGATGTATCGTACCGTGGAGCTACTGATGTGGATCTAGTTCAGCTTCAATATCAGACTGCATAACTTTCAGATTTCATGTTCTTTGCCTATGTTCATTCCGACATCGACGTCAACCATGCAGGCTCATGAGCCGGGTTGGGCATTGAGCTGTGGTAAAGCAAGGGCTGCAGCAGAAATTGGGTGAGAGACAGGGTGCACTCTGAAGAGGTCACCAGTCCGTCACAGAGACAACCATGCACAGGCTGGACTATGGCTACAGAACGTCTGGACGTAAAGAAAAACTGCAATCTTGAAGTAAAGATTTTTCTTCGACTCCGTTTTCCTTTTCCCTAAGTTTTCTCAGTTGTTAAATTCATCAAATTGCAGACTTTTCCATATTGGACAACACAGGACTGTAGTTTTACCTCAACATCTTGACAATCTCTTACTGACTTGTCTGTTGGTTAGCTTTACCCTCCAAGTACCCAAAGATAGTTTTAGTAACCAACCAAAAAAAACGGCCACTTATTCTGTCTTTTGCCACCACTGTGGCCAAGGAAACTTGGATTGTAGGGTCATAGAGAAACTCAAACCACTCCACCGCCATAAGGTAATAGTTTATTTTGTGATGGATGGATAGGTGAACACTCCGCTTCCTAAAATTCCTGATTCCACTGGTTAAGAAAAACTTAAAGCCCCTGAAATGATGATGACGGAACAATTTATTGTATCGGTTATTTTCTCGTTGTTGCACGATACACGTCATCAAAGGCCACGTAATGGGATGACGATATAAAATAAAGCCAAAGGTTCTTTGTGTTTATTTTTTGTCTTTTTTTCGCCCCCAAATCAGCCATCCCATCGGAGCGAGTGCGCCGCAAAACGATTCCCGTCAAAGCCAAAACTGACATTTTTCGCTGCTCACAGATAAGAGCTTTCCCAGCCTACACACGCAGCTGTCTCCCTCTTCCATTTGCATCAGGTATTGATTTTGAGACGCAGGCTGTGTGGTGAGAAGCGGCGCCGCATATGGTACACGGTGCGATTTTTCCCTTTTTTTTTTTTTGCGTGTGTCTTTCTTCTTAAGAACAACGCTGACAGCGAAGGCAGGGAGTTTGAGACTTGTTATGAAGAGATGCGTCGGTGGCGAACAGTAGGAAGCCAATTAGACCGCTCGGCCACGGAGAGGAGAGCTGCGGTCACGCACCGGTTTCGCCCCTCCTCCATGCTGCCTCCTCCAGCATGTAGCAGAAAGGGGCGAAAAAAACAACAAAAAAACCCCAAAAAACCTCATGCTCCTATCACAAGAACAATAACGGCATCATATTTCCATGCATTGATTTTTCCTTCCATCTCTCTCTCTCTCTGTTTTACATTATTTCCCAGGTCAGTAATGTGCTTCTGTGGAGAGCAGCAGCAATGCAGGCAGAGCCGGCCCAACGCTGAACAGTTCGACAGTATAAGCCAAATATAACCACAAGTTTAAAAAAATTAAATAATATATATATATATTTTTTTTAAGTCAGTGTATTGTATTTTGCCTTGAAGTGACTTCTACATGAAGAACGCTGCTTGAAAAATCTGCAAGACATTTTCAGACAATTATAGTGCTTCCACCCCCCTGCATTATATATTTATATTTTGCATTCAAACGTTAAAAATTATGGATGGGTATGAATTCTGAACCTCTGGAGTGTAACACATACATTTGTTAAGTTCAATTTTCTAACATTTTCCTTATTAGTCGGCATCTCTGCTGTGCACCAGGGTTGTGTGTCTTTAACAGAACCTGAATTGAATTGAGAGTTTTGCGCTCTGCCCCCCCTGCTGGTGTGGAAGACCTAGCTAACTAGAGCATTACACTTGCGTGTATACCATAAACCAAAAAGAAGCTGCAAAATATACATTTATAAACCTGACTTTTCAATAAATAAAAAAAACTGGAAAAAAAACCCTCCAGTGCTCCCCCTGCAGGTTGGGAAGACCAAAGCAGCTGCTAAGATTGCTTATTCCTCCGACTGGCTCTGCATGCAGGTGGCTCCTGGACGCAATCCTAAATTGCAAGAACAAAAAAAAAAAAAAAAAAAAAAACTGGAAGTGGAATGACAAATCCATTCATTTATTCCTGCAATTGATCCAAAATCCATCTAAAAAGCTGAAAAAAAATAAAAAAATGACAAGAAAAAGTGCAGATTGTGGGTTTTCTCAGCTGACTCCATGTGCTTCCTTCCCACTTCTCCAAGCGGAACTTCCACGCAGGAGGAGGGATGAAGGTGGGAATGAGAGAGCAGATGATTCCTCCACTCCTCTTCCAATTAAAAATGGCAGGAAAAAAAAAAGCCAGACATGTAAGGGTATCTATTATGGATAAGAGAGGGGACTTCTATCCATGGGAGGAGGAGGAGGAGGGGGGTTACAACCGGCTAATCTAAAGGATGCATATATTATTCACGACCAATTCAGTCTGCATTATGAGATCTGGATCTTCATCTTCCAGCAAAGCGCCTGACAGCTTTATCGGTGCAGAAAATGAGCATTTTTTTAAGGGGAGGAGGAAGAAAGTTGCCGCCTTGCGTCCCCGAGCGCGCGGCTCTGAGGGAGAGGGGGACGCGCGGGCGGCTTCGGCCAACGTACCTGCTGCCAGTTCTCCTCCAGCGACGGCATGGCCGAGAAGTAGCCCGTGTCGTGGACGAGCTGGAGTTCCTGAAAGATGCCGTGGTTCGCCAAGACGTCCATGCTGGCGCTCCGGCAGAGAGAGAGAGAGAAGGACGGAGGAAGGGAGGGAGAGGAAGAAAAAAACAAACCCAAAACAAGCCGGGGAGGAAGCGGCAGAACGATCCACAAAGAGACGCGCCTGTCAGACCTCCACGTCCACTCGCGTCATGTTGGTCCCGTTAAAAGCGCAGTGCAGCGGCCGGACGCGGAGCGGTTCGACTCTCTGTACCTGCGCGCATAATCGGTGCGTAAAGGAGACTGGAGGTGGGGACGGGACGCTCCACGCGTAACCGCGTTGCCAAAACAGCCTGTGATAGGGAGCCGGTGGAGAGGGCGGGGCTCCGCTAAGTGAAGGGGCGTGGGGGGGAATTTGTCAATCAAACGCCCGAGTGGGCGGGCGACGCCGGGGAGGGAGAGGCGCTGAGGCGGGACTTGATGGGTTCTGGACGCATACGGGCTCCAGAGGTGAGCTGTTTGTGGACGGCATTCAGATTTGGAAGGCTGCTTCCTGTATGGGGGGATCCGGCTCTGCACCAGGGGGGCATCTATCAGGGGCGGCACATGCAAGGAGGAATCTGTCAAAACAGAACAGTTTTGGTGCTTGATTGGTAGATTCTGACTTGGTACTAAGTTAAAGTGACATTTTTAAAAATATATTATAATAGACAATTTTATTAGGTAGACCAACTCAAAGTAAACAAAGTCAAGATTCAGGGAAGGGAAGGAAAGACAGATACGATCAGGTGGCGATGAATGCGGAACGAGAACGCAGATAAAAGCGCATCTGCAAAAGCTGGCTGCTGCTGAAGGAAATAAACGCTCTTGCAGAATGATATGCAGAAATACTTTATGAGGTGAGAAATGTGGCTCTACAGCCAGGGCGCCGACTGTCAGGGGGCGGCACAAGCGTGGGAAGGAAAAAGGGAGGGGGGGGCACTATTTGTCGTGTCCTTGTGGGATTTTATGCCAAAATTCAAACAAGCCACTTAGAAAATGACAAGTAAATTTCAATAACAAAAAAAAAAAGAAACTGAAAAGGGTGGCAAGCATTTGTATTAAACCTTTTTATTCAACTGTTACGTTTAAAGTTACTACTCAGCTGGAATTTGGGTAATTTCCACCCATCGCTACTTAACACATGTATATTTGACCATTTGTTTAGTTAGTTGTTCCCAAAATGGACGCAGCAAATGCTCGACCACTGGTTATTGAGTGCATCATCGAGAATGAGAACATGACGTCACTGGCAGCAGCAGCTCAGCTGGAAACCTGACCTGTACATAGATGCTAAAGAGGCTTTTCCGGTGAAACACACAGCAACGACGCAGATCAGATCCAAACTCAAATTTGCCGTTTGCAACAAAACCAGAGTCACTGAACCAGCAGCCAAAAATATGAATTCAGTCATACCTTTCCTGTTTTACAGCCATCATCCATGTTGTAGTAAATCTTTCTGTGATCCATTGTCCTTGTGTCACACTGATGTGATTCGAGGGAAACTTTCTTGTTCAGCTTTTCGGACTCCTTGGACCCAATGTAGAAAACTCAGACAAACTTTCCTCACTTTAGCACAGCTGGTTGTGATTGATGGATGGTGTCAACTCCTCCCAATTCTATTGGCTGCCGGACGTGTCAGTCATCCAAAATCACCGATGGGCTCCGGATGAGCTACAGAGGACACAGACTTGTATTTATTTTTTTTCACTGTGTGCCATGTTTATTTGCCGACTTTTAAACCTATATAGCATCCTCAAATTTACAAGTTTGCGCCATCGTCCAATTAAACTTTAAATTTGACCTCTGAACTCCACTGGAACCTTCACTTGCGTACGTTCTCTTTTCTTTTTAATTTAAAACTCGTTTTTTTTTAATAGAAATTTGGTTCACCTTTGGAACATTTCTCTAATTTCAGGGTTATGCTGCAATCAAAGTACGTCTGCACTCACGTAAGACACATGTTCAGCTTTGTATTTGTATATTTCAGTTCTTATCTTAATTAAGCTAAATGTTGTGTGTTGTACCTTTGGTGTCTTTAGCACCATGAGCAAAAAAACAAACTTCAAATCTGGTTTGAGAGAGAGAGAAAAAAAAAGAAGTTCAAAATAAACACAAAATTGGCCTACAACCACTAGAAATTGTAATCCAGTGAACTGAGATTAGAAGAACTAGCACATGGACGTCATAACATCCCCCCCGTTGGTAAATTATCGCACCTGACAGTCTCCGAATAACATTTAGCAATTTGCATAGATTCCCCAGGAGGATTGTTTCCCAACACACCGATCGCATCCCCCAACCTCCTTTTACCATTCAGCCTCAGACCGGTGAATCTGCTGCTCGCTAAGCCCTAACACTGATCGCTGATGCGGTGGGCGTGCTGTCAATATTGGCCCATTCACTGTGAGTGAGCAAATCTCTCCTTGACATGGCCAGCCATGCGAGTAATAGCTAGGATTAAGATAGGAAGGTACACACATGAATATACAAAACGCGGCGCGGGGGGCATGGGCGGATCTGAAGCAGCGGCTCGGGGAAATTACTGATAGGCCTGGGATGTGAAACATGACTGTCTGACTGGGAGCTCGGACATGAAGAGACTCGTTCACTGTCGGCGACCGAGTGACGCTTTTACATTTGGAGCCAGAGTGAATCTATCAAAGTAATTTACCCGGTTGTGCAATTTCATGCGAAAGGAGGGATGGGGGGGGAAATCAGGCGGCCTGATTATGAGGTGCTTTAACACAAATGTGCATTTGCATTCAGATGAACGCACGACTTCTTTCTCTGCAAACAAGGTCAGCTGCTTCATGATAGCCACAGTTGCCATAACTGCTGCCTTAGAAGCGGTTTGCTACTCTCTAACGTTATTTCCTCTCTTTCTTAGAGGAAATAATGTTAGTACCCTGATGGCACTTCTTTGATTTGGCTTGACACTGTGGGGACATTTCAAATGATGCCTGACCTTTTTGTAGTGACATGTTTAGCAGAAGTAGGTTTCGGTGGCGTTTTTCAGTCTTTGAAACTCTTTGATTCACTTCACCACGGTTCCGACACGTTCATTTCTCTTCCGGTCCCGCCACCGTTTTTCAATCAAGTTGAGTCTCGACTTTGGTTTGACCTTGTAAGAACGACAAGGTGAACATGTGCGGGTGATGCAAGTCGCGACACAGTCATCTCTTCTACACTTTTTGAACCTGTTCAAGTTGGAAGTTTTGACGTTTTGGGTAACTCCATTCTGAAATTAACCTACCATAATTTTTTTTAAAAGAAGAGGCTGTCAAGACTTTAATCTGGAGTATTTTTCTGATTGTACTGCATTGAACTTGGCAGCTAACAGTGTATGCAGTAGTTACCCTGACGGCAATCAGCACCTTGCCACTCCTTTCTCTCTTCCTGTCCTTGGCTGAAGCCAAGAGTAACATGGTTTTTAAATGCCAATGTTCAGCTCCACTGCTGAATCTAAAATGAGTTTCAAGGAAGATAGTGATCAGGAAAAAAATTCACCATTCTGAAAAAACACCATAGACTTTATTGTTACATAAGGTTAGGCACATGCACACATTGAGATGTAAGCTCCGTTTTCCTCATCCTGTCTCTTTGTGTTGCAGGCTGAAATGGCTGCGAATCCCCTCACTAATTGGACGCCTGACAACAGTCATTGTCCTTTTGCATAATGTGACAAGCTTCTGCAAAATATTCCTTTCAGTGGTCCTCAGTTGAGGTCAAGGCCATACAGAGACAAAAGTAAATGGAGCGGCGAATCGCAGCCTATTTTTCTCCGAACTGACGCTGATGCGACGTTACCCAACAGGCACCAGGGGAGACAGAGGGTGGAAGGGGGGGAGCGACTTAAGGAAAACTGAAGGGGATTATGTCGCGGATGTTTTAGCATTTGACTACTCGTCCCTGGTAAAATGCAGAAGTGGTGAATGCAATTGGCTATCTCTGACTCCCACTCATCGTTGCCTAATTGGCACTTAACAGCCGCCCCTCATGGCCTCCTGGCTGGCTCGCCTTTTTACTTGGCATGGGAAGCAACAGCAGCGCCACATCAAACATCACTCAGAGGGCAGCTTTCGCCTGGCCCCTCGGCTCCCTTAACTACCCCCCTCCACCTCCACCATTCCCTTCCCTTCCAGCTATCTGGTGGAAGGAAGGAGTTTGCACCCCAGGCACCCCCAAGCACTCATTATCTCTGTTCCAAGTCGGCCTGTCGCTCTGAAATCCACCCCTCTCCCACAACTCATCACCCACCTCCACGTTCTCCCCTCTTCCCCACGGAGGAGCAACATGAGGAAGATGTTAGGATATTGAAGATGTTCTGCCACTAGGCTTTGAGCCAAAAGAGGCAACGCGTACGCCAGGCATATGGCCACATTTCCAAAATCTTATCTTCCTTTAATCAGGCCCATCAATCAAGAGCAAATTTATTTTTCTTTTGTGGAGCAAAGAGCAGACGTTTGGCAAAAAAACAAAAAAAACTGAGGTTACTTTTAGATTCTCACAGGACAAAAAGCAAGGACAATAATATACAGAAGGCAATTTTAGCCTCTGGATTTGTGTAAATGTTCTGCTCAGACACGTCGGGGCACATGGATGTCGCATTACGCCAAATGAGTGAAAATTAAGCAAAGCACAGACACTGAAGGTTCCTCTGTCGCAGGAGGCAGAAAGCAGCTGAGGCCGGGCAGGACGTGTGTCTCTGCAAACATCAGGCAACGTTTTCCATGTAAATCAGCTTGTACTTAAAAAAAATAAAAATAAACCAGCAGAGAGAAAGTCATGCTGGATGTTCACTTCCTTCAAAACTGAAAACTAACCAATTAATTGAAATGGCACCAATAAAGTGAACTTTGCAACAAAACAACGTTGTGAGGTTTGAACCCTTGTCAGCTAGCCATATTAGCATCCCACTTGAGGGAGTTGGAATAGAAATGGGCCGGTTCAGCGAGCAGAAGGGAGAAAAGCTCCCATTCGTCTTGTCCTGTTTAAATACACTGGTTAACTCCTGCCATCAGGGAAGCCATTCAGCAAAAGGCCAAGGGCATCTGTCATGTGTTCAGCACACTGACGCCGTCCCCCGTCCTTCTTCCTCGTCCCCCCCCCACTCCCGCTCTTCTCTTCTGCCACCACTTCCCCACTCTGTTCGTCTCAGCGCCGTCCCTCCCGCCTTTCCCCGCGGTTCGCCTCGCTCGCAGTGCCTCTCCTCCTCCTGATGAAAGGAGTGAATATGCAGGGAGCTGACATGATTAGCAGCCTCATATCCCCATGATGGATGGCGCCTGCTCCATTATTAATATAGTAAAAGCACCAACTGCCAGGTAAGAGCAATGTCAGCATCCACAATATAACGCTGTGTGCCCAGGGATAATGGTGGGCACTTATTTTTTATTTTTTTTATTTTTTTATCTATGATATGCATGAGAAG